GATGAGCTGACATCTCCTCTAGCTACGCCGCCTCTACAATGCTAGCAATATCCTAGAGACGATATTTAAAGGGATTATCGACAAGCGTCGAGTAGAAGGATTCGGTAATACTAGCGAGGATAAAGACATCTTCAGTCTTCTCTTGGCCGCAAACGAATTGGAAAAGGGCAGCAAAGGCGCACTTTCCGATCGCGAGCTCGTTAGCAACGTGTTCCTCTTGCTGTTGGCTGGTCATGGTTCGTCTACTCTCCTGTCTCCGCATGACACCAAATGTTCACTGTCCCTGTAGAAACCACGAGCAAATCGCTGGCAGCCACATTGGGTGAGCTCGCTTGTAACCCGGAGGTGCAGCAACACGCATATGATGAGATCATGTCCGTCATCAAAGAAGGCAGCGATCCTGTAAGCAGCTGAGCTCTTCGCCATATGTCCTCCTAATTGCGCACAGACCTTGGATGATTTCGAGAAGTTACCGTTCGTGCAAGGCTGTTTCCAGGAAGCTCTGCGGATGTATCGTTAGTCCCTATCAGCATCAAGACTGACATTATTGCTCATGTCCATTACAGCTACCGCGCACGTACTCATGCGTCGACCAGTCGAAGATACAGTTCTCCAGGTCCCGAGCCGACAGGGTGGGGTTGTGCCACTCAGTGTGCCCTCGGGACAGGTCGTTGCACTGGACTTTTTTGGTATTGGCTACAACGCTCGGGTGTACAAGGATCCGAAGTCGTTCAATCCTGCCCGTTGGCTCGATCCTGCTACGGAACCGTTGCTGAACTTCTCATACGGACCCCGAGTATGCATTGGGAAGAAGTTCGCCGTAGTGGAGGTCACAGGTGTCCTGGCATTGCTTCTCCGCGACTACAAAGTTGAGCCGATTTTGAAAGACGGGCAGACGATTGCAGACTGGCATGCAGCTTGGGTGGAGAACGTCGAGGCGGTTATTGGGTTTGGACACAAGCGTTTCCCGCTGAAGTTCACGCGTCGTTCAGTTCGGGCATAGTCATTTCAGTTTGTGTCGGATATATCCCTCTTCTCGCACTGATGATGAGGCATGGATATCCTGTCGATCTGACAGTGGGTAGCCATTATTATTATTGTATGTGATTTCAGTGGGAATCCGTCAAATTTCTGATAATAAAGCATGACTAATTGTACGGCATGGGCCCCGCTAAAAAGGCAACTGGAAGATGGGCGACGCGGCAGGCACCACCATTCAATCTGTTTCAATAAACTCTGGGCTTCTACTCTTGATCTGCACAGCCCATCGCCCAGTCATTCTCAGGGTTACTCAGGGTTTTCTCATTACGCAACCTAATTTCTCAGGTGTGAGCCAGCACGTTTGGGGGTATAAAAGCGCCCAGCACGTTCTCCCATTATGTATGACCACACCATTCGAGTGCGTTCCTACGTGGACCAACATGCTTTCGCTGCCTTTCAGCCTTTCATGGCCGGTGGTCATACTGGTCCTGTCTCTTATCTATGTCATTGAGCGTGCGATTTCTTACTACAAGGCCCTGCGGGTACACAGTATATGTTCAACTTCGAAATTGCGGTTGTGACTAATCGATTTTGGCTAGTCTGTTTCGTTCCTGCCCGGTCTCACTTTTCCCGCCTCTTCCTACTCCATTCCTGGCTCTTTGTTTCCTTCTACTGAATGGAACCCAGGCATGATCTTCGGTTGGAGATGGCGGGATCGGTTTTACAAAGACTCACCGATGGACATGGCGTCACAGATCGGCCTACTCAACGGGCCGCCTGTCCTGTACACCAATTCTCCAGAAGTCGCCAAGCAAGTATTGGGAAACAAGGCCCCTTGGGATAAAATCAAGGAAAGCGTGCAGAGTCTCAGTCCCTTTGGTCCAAATGTGTTCGCGACCATGAGCGCTGAATGGCCTCGTCACCGAAAAGCTGTGTCTCCTGGTTTCAATGGACGCCTATACTCTTCTGTATGGACGGAAACGAAGAACACTTACTATGATTGCCTTGCTACTGAGAAGTGGGAGAACGAGCGGGAATTCATAATGCCTGATGTGACAGCGGTTACTTCAAAGGTACGGTGGGACAAAGCGCTTAATCTTGTCCTATTTGACGACGAGTCGATCAGTTTGCCCTGTATCTCATTGCAAAGTGCGGGTTCGGTATTGGTCTGTCTTGGAATGAAGACGTTGGCGAGCGTGTCAGAGGAATGTCCCTCCCAGAGTGCTTTGAGGTTACCAGTAATTCAGTGATCATCTTGTCCTTCCTGCCCCACTGGACATACAGTTTACCAATTCCCGCGTAAGCTACTGCCACAAGCCATCATAACACCGCAGATGAGCTGACATCTCCTCTAGCCTACGCCGCCTCTACAATGCTAGCAATATCCTAGAGACGATATTTAAAGGGATTATCGACAAGCGTCGAGTAGAAGGATTCGGTAATACTAGCGAGGATAAAGACATCTTCAGTCTTCTCTTGGCCGCAAACGAATTGGAAAAGGGCAGCAAAGGCGCACTTTCCGATCGCGAGCTCGTTAGCAACGTGTTCCTCTTGCTGTTGGCTGGTCATGGTTCGTCTACTCTCCTGTCTCCGCATGACACCAAATGTTCACTGTCCCTGTAGAAACCACGAGCAAATCGCTGGCAGCCACATTGGGTGAGCTCGCTTGTAACCCGGAGGTGCAGCAACACGCATATGATGAGATCATGTCCGTCATCA